TTTATAAGTATTTCTAGTAATTATTTTATAAGTATCATAATTATTTTGTAAGTAATGATTAAACACCACTTAATCCTAAATAAAATTAATTCTTGTTTTGCTTAAGCACATTTTAGAAAACATTTAGCATTAATCAAATCTTTTTTTTTTTTTAATTATGTCACTATACTAGTAACATGTTATCCCTTGGAGTTCTTTGGTTGAATTAAAGCTATATGTAATGTCTCAATAAAAAAATTTATACTGAGGAAAAAAAAGAGAAAAAAGAGAGCTTTAGGACAATGAGAGAGGCTAAAGTTTGGCAGATAAAGCAGGTCCAACTATGTTTACAATGCGTTTTTGAACCTTGTCTAGAAGAGAAAAAGCGTCATTAGAAGAACCATCAAGATTTAAAATTGGCTGCCTGTTCTAAGCAATTGAAAAGAAAAGACTTTTAGTAGTAGATAGAGCCACTTTAGATATAAATAAAAAACAATACAAGACCAAGATGACATTAACTCTGACATGATGACCTTTAAGGATGACATTAAATCTGCAGTTAGAAAGATTATTGTATATAATCTCAAAAATTTTCCCAGATACGTCATATAAAGCCAGCTACTAGGGAAGACCAATATCCTTAACTTTATAGAATGCTTTTGATATGGAATATGATTAAGTTCAGGTGAAAACAATCCTCATAAGTATAAAAAATTTTAAAACCACTGTAGTTACTGACATACATGAAGCAATTGCAAATTGCTACAAAGAATATCTAATTAATTAAGAATTAAAGAGTTTGAAAATGAGGTTTTCAGTTCAATTTCTTTTATTTCTATCCTTCTGATAGTGCTTAACCATGAAAATAATTAAATTTAATATACATGTTTTATATTCATATTATGTTAATACCTCTCCCAATGATAAGGCAGAAATATTTGCAAAAATCTCTATTTCAATTTTTGAATCTAATTACCATATTATTTTTGACTCCGAGAGAAACAAGCTGTTATTTCATCTTTTGGTTTATCTGTTGTTTTACTGCTAACAATTATTGTTGATATACTATATTGATGAATTGCAATATATATATATATATATATATATATATATATATATATATATATATATATCTGAACCTTATCAAAAATCTTTTATGTAGTTTTTTTACTTGAACACCAATTGTTCAAAATTTGCTTCATTCTTCAGTTTTTGAAATCTTGCTCTTTAGCTCTCTGTTATTCAAAACGATTAAAAGTCTTCTTATTGTTAATGTTTGTTTTTTTACTTAAAAACAATTTTGTCTTGTCTAAAAAATTGGTTGCTTTACATGGTTAGCACAGGTACTGATAATGCCAACCTAGCTGACCCAAGAATGTTATTTATATGGGTAGAAGCATACACATCAAGGTACAAAATTATTTCAAATAAAGTGAAATTTTGATTTTATAGTGCGACAATAAAAATACCTGTAGAATGTGAACCATTACATATAGTTTGATAAAATTAATGCAGATAAGATTACAGCCGGATCTGCTAACTGTTTAGGGATCTTTATTTATATTTTATTAGTTTTTTACTACTTATACCTAAAAACAATACAGATTACTGCAATATTCAGTTTCTACTTTTAAAATAATGAATACATCAGTGTTCTACTATGTAATACCAACAATTTTTGGGCTAATTATTTTATTGCTACATGTACCATTTTCAATCTATGGACAAAAACACTGATTTGCTATTTGAAGCGTGGTTTGAATTGGCCTGTGCATAGCATAAATATTCCAACATTTCCTAAAGTATAAACTACTGCCAAAATGCAAAAAAAAAAAAAGTGTAAAACCTGCCAAAAGGACTATCAGTTGATAGAGCAAAAAAAAAAAACATTTCTGTTATAAGAATTTTTATTGGCTCTTGAAAACCTTCTCAAAAACATTGACTTTCTAGATAAAGTGAAAAAAAAACTATAAAAACCCTAGTATTTATATCATGTTACCATCAAATAGCATGTTATAAATTGCAAGACATGATCATGCAATATAATTAAATGCATTGGGGTCATGCCCCATTTTTTTCAAACTTTTTTTAGCATTTAAAATAAAGTAAAGATAGTTTTGAAAATATTGTCTTTGAAAATTTTTTTGTTTTGTACTTGTTCTATTTGATTTAATTATTTACAAAATAATTAAATCAAATATGAAAAATACAAAAATATGAAGTGTCAAGATTGTGTTAAGATTTGCTTAGATGCGTCAATGATCAAAATATACATACATCCAGTTGTTGTTACAGGAAGCATCAATGATAAAAATTATGTTGATAATTGGAATTCAACACTTATCTGCTCTAGATCGCCTGCTCTAGATGGCCATGAAGTTTGTCAGAAGTAACATTTGCATGCATAAATATTGCCATATTATCTTCCTTAATATTATCAATTTCATTTATCATAACAATCCAATGAAATGTATCATATTTAGACAGAATAAATTGACCAAATTTTAATATATTGATGTTAATTTGCTAATTAGGTTGGTTAATTTGAATACCAGAAAAATAAAACATGCCTGTTATACTAAAATCTTCCCGTATCATTAGATTCCGGGTTAAATTAATGACTACTCCTAGTGCCTGGAATTGTTCTACTTAGCTGAAAACGTTTTTCTAAGTGGTATACAATTCTGTCAGTCTTTCTTTTTTTAATCTTGAAAATAATAATCCCTTTATTTTATTACAATTCAGTATCTGGTCAATTATGGGGCTTTGTAGACTTTCATTTGTAGTTAATTGTTTTACAGTAAGAACTATAATTATTGAGCAAAAAAATACAAAGTAACTTAACCATGAGCATTTACTTTCTCTGATTTGTGTTAGACAAGAATTTTTTTAAGATTAAAAAAAGGGTAAAAAAAAATTATTATTTACCTGGTTAATTTTGATTTTTCAAAGTTATTCTTACAACTTTGCTAAAAAAATTCTTTGTGTTGTTGCCTTATTAGTGAGGTTGCTACTTACAGTGCTGGAAGTAATTATTCAAAGATTGCCTAATACGACTGATCAACTGAAATTAAAAACATTGAAAAAGAGGCATAAATTTTTTTTCTGAATGATCAAATATAATCTTTGTAATTTTTATCTAAATGTTGTAACTGTAACACTTTAAAGTTACACTTTAAACTGTACACTTTAAATGTTATACTTTAAACTATACACTTTAAACTGTAACCCTTTAAATGTTATTCTTTAAACTGTACACTCTAAACGTTACAATTTAAATGTTATACTTTAAACTTTACACTTTAAACTGTAACACTTTAAATGTTATACTTTAAACTGTACACTCTAAATGTTACAATTTAAATGTCATACTTTAAACTGTACATTTTAAACTGTACACTTTAAACTGTAACACTTTTTTGAGTTTGCACAATATATCTATATTGTTATAAAGCATATTGTTATAATCAACAAAAATATTCTGATTAAAAAAAAAACTAATTTAAATATTTTTTTTTTTTGCCTTATTTATGCTTAATCTTTTAATAAAATACAATATAAATTTTTGTACTTTTCATTTTATCTCTCTATAAATCTTTTCACTTCTCCATTCAGCAATTTTAGCAGTTTTTATTTTGATTTGCCCAAAACAAGCAATAGTTTTTTAGCAACTCGCTTAGAAAAAAATAAAATTTTGATTTTAAACTAAAACACCCACTAAGAAAAAAATAAGAAGTTTTTTTTTCACTGTTCATGATATAGATACTGATTTTACGAAAGAAAATTGCAATTAAAAAGAGCTTATAGATAAAAATATCAATTTTGTTAAAAAACTACCATTTGTTTGGGAGATTCAAAATAATATGAAAAAAAAAGATGATCCTTCTTAAAGAAAAGTAAAAAGTATTTTCTTTTTCTTTGCAGTGATTCACATACTAATTTCTTATTAAAGATTTATCTCTTGTATTTTGTCTTCCTCTATTTTATGATTATAATTTATTTTATACTTTCTATTTAATCATTTTTAACACCTAAAGCAAAACTGTTGCACCAATTTAATGTTTAATGATCTCGAAGCAAAAGTAAACTAATACTATGTTTATTTGGACTTTAAAATAAATGTTAACATATCTAGTTATTATTTCATTAAAAATTTTAATTTCATTAAAAAAACTTCATTTCATTCATAAAACTTCATTTCATTCATAAAACTTCATTTCATTCATAAAACTTCATTTTATTATAAAACTTCATTTCATTTATAAAATTTCATTTCATTTATAAAACTTCATTTCATTCATAAAACTTCATTTCATTCATAAAACTTCATTTCATTCATAAAACTTCATTTCATTCATAAAACTTCATTTCATTTTGGGGCAACAACCTTAGCTGTCGAGTGCACATTTGTAAGTCTGGTTTTGTCTGCATTAAAGATGCCTTTTGGAAAAAAAACATATTTTGTAAAAACTTTTAAATATTTAAAAAAAATTGCTCAGTGAAAAAAACTTTTTATTTCTTTTTAATATAATCAGAGTAGTATTGCATACCAGCTGTTTTTATCCCAAGGCATTAGATGATTTTTTGTCATTGGCTTTTGCAAAGCAAGCTTTTTAAGTTGTGGTTTTGATAGCCGTTAATGTTCATTGCTTGCAATTACATGGGATAAAGAAAATATTCTCTAATGATAAGTTTTAAAAAAAATAATTTCCAAACAACCTGATTAAAGTATTGACATTTTAGTTTATTAGTTTTTCAGTATTGTAGTATCAGTATTTTTAGAACTTTTTCATGATTTCCTCTGAAACCTTTTCTTCTGAAAAAATGTCTTTGCATTGTTTTGCTAATACTGAATTGTCGTTCTGCAGTTCTAACTGTTAATACATCCTTTATTACAAAATAAAAAGTTTTTTAAAATATATTGGTACCATGCAGACCTAAAAATGCAGTTATAGATAATAATAATAATGGTAAGATTTTTTTATTAAAAAAAAATAGTAAAGATAAAAATAATTTTATAGGTTTCCACTTTTTATCTTCTCCAAGGCATCCATATGAAAGTTGGTTTGCGTCTTTCTTCCAAAATAACTGTCCCAGCATGTTGGTTAGGAATTATAAACATCTTCACAATAGTTATTTTTGTACCTATATTTTCTAAATATATAAAGAATGCTAAATCGTATTATTTGATGGTATCTATAGGTAAATTTTATTGTTTTAGTTTATTTCATACTATATAATTTATATTGCAATATTTTTTTCATTTATATCATTAATTTATTATATACTTAAATCATAATTTATTTCTACATTGTATATACATATATATATATGTATATATATATATATATATATATGTATATATATATATACATATATATATATATATATATCTATATATATATATATATATATCTATATATATATATATATATATATATATATATATATATATATATATATATATATATATATATATATATATATATATATATATATATATATATATATATATATATATTTGGGGTGTTCAAAAAAAAAAAAATTTTCAAAACGCGAATACACAATAAGCCAAATTTGGGGCAAACATAAAAAAAATACGATTAAAAAAAAAAATCAAAAATATTGACATTTACCTTGTGCTCAAGCGTCAAAATACCCCGAAAAATGCCCCAAATAGTTCCCAAGTAATTTGGCTTTGAGCGCTAGGTACATCTCAATATTTTGTAATTTTTTAAAATTGTATTTTGCTTATAATGGTCCAAACTTTTTTTTTAGTTTGTTGTGTATACTGGTTTTTTCATAATTGTTGTTTAAATAAAAAAAAGATTTTGCAAAAAAATACGCAAAAAAAAAGTTTTAACACGCTTTTAACAAAATAATGCATAATAATTCTGCATTTATATGACTTATATATAATCACATTGTTCAATGTTTCAAAAAGAAATTTAATTTTATTTTAATTAATCTTTTGAGAATAAAATAAAAGTTGATTGAATGATACAAACTTTTTTAATTTTTTGTAACTTTGTAACAATTGAAGTCTCAGTTTCTGATTATGGAAATTAAGGTGCAGACAGAGCCTTCCAATAGTGCTTGGGTCAAAAGTGGACAATGGCGCCCTTGTTTTAAACCAAGAAATTACAAGTTTTTAAGTTTTGTGAAAAATTATTAATTTTTGATACAGTGCATTATATTTCAGCTTTACTGTTAACTAACTGGATTGAGAAACGGTTCATTAATTAAAAATGACATTTTATTTTATTTATTTTTTTATTTTAATTCACTTCCTCAAGGCCGAGAAGGCCACTACAGACGAGGAGGCTACTTATTTGTGGTTATAACCCTCTCCCAACTCTATAACTCCGAAACACGAACCTTGAGTTGAGTGCAGTACTACATATGAATCAAAACATATTAGTTTTATTAGTTTTAAAACTAATAAGCAAAAAAAAACAATAAATAAAGTGTTTAAAAATGAATTTTTTGAGCTTTTCTGACATATCAAATATATTTTCTTAGTGTTGAAAAAAGTTGCTAGAAAAACAGATTATTATCGAAATTTTTTTGATCGATGACATTGTTGTAGCTCACTTTTTTAGCCAAATCTTTTTTAATAAAAATAATCAAGCATCAGTAACATCCAAATCAAGCATCAGTAACACAATCCACTATAACGAAATGGTCAAACAGAGAAAATTTTAAAAATTTTTTTAGTTAACTAAATGATTGTTCATCCTCAACAAATGACTCAGGAAAAAAGGTGCAAATTCAGAACATAATGCAAATGTATGGAAAAAGGCATTCAAGTTTCTTCTCAAAGATTTAATTGAGTTGCTGCATTGGATATCTTTACTTAAAAATTTTTTTTTTCTGCCATTTTTAAAATGGCAAACTTCTTTAATAAGACTCTGTTCACATCTAGGATAAAACCCTTGTCGCGTTAAATAAGTAGAGAAAATGATATTCTGCGCATGCGTTAGTTTATGGGTACTTATTTAACGTAGTAAGTCACGTTAAATAAGTAAATTGTTAAATAAGTAGACAAATTGAACAATCAAGGCATTATTTGTTAACCCAGACAAATAAATTTTAAAAAAACATACATTAACCAAACTAAAAGCATTTACTTTGTCATGCGAATTGTTATTATTTTATGGCATTTTTAGAGTGATAATTTACCACTTTTAATAATATTTAACTCATGACATAAATTCTAGTTGTATTTTATACCTTAATATATAGTATGACAAGTAACATATTTTTTAAGAAAGAGGTTTTTTTTAGGTCATTAATGATATCAAATAAAATAGTCATCTCACAAGGAAGTTTATTATATTCCTAAATAATTTAACTGTGCATTTTAGCAAAATGTTTCATGTTAAATTATTTATTTTTATCCCTTAAGCCTATCAATTCTAAAATTTGTAATTGCTACCTGATTCTACGCAGATAAATAGTAACAAAAGTATTCTGATGTTATCACAGAAAAAAGAAGAGAATTTATTAATTCGTGTCAACTTTTTTTGGGTGTTAATTTACCTTCTCAAGGATGAAAAAGCCACTCCAGTCGTGGAGGCTGCTTTAGTTCTGGTTACAACCCTCTCACAATTCTTTAACTCCGAAACACAAACCACGACAAACAAAACCGCTACGCCAAGAAACAAGTTTAGCGCGGTAGTACCAGGGACGTGGTGGTGATCGAACTCAGAACTTCTCGATTATGAGGCGAGCGCTCTACCACTACACCACTACTGTACTACCGTTGAATAACAACCTAGACAGGTGTTATTCAACAATTTTAGTGGCGTATGTATAGCACAATAATAAAATGTGACCTAAGCTTAGTTTACTATTTCTTACTATGTGAATGTTTTAAATAAATACGACATTAAAGAAACGACACACTTCATGCTACACTAAAACTTTATTTTGAAAATAAGATCAAAATATCCTTACACAATATAAATAGCAAAATAAAATAACATGGTTTTTAAGTTCTTTTAAAAAATATCAACTTGGTTGAAACTTGGGCATTTTCGGAAGAAATTCGATTTTTCCACATTACAAGCCTATAAAAAAAATAATAATAAAAGTACCTGCTTTTGTACCAGAAGAGTACTTATTAAATGCATTGATCAATATATGTCAATAAATTGATTTATAAAATGAACTCTAAATGTGTGCCAGAAGGATTTGAATTTATAAATCATATAAATGTTAAAAATGTTAAAACAGCCATGGTATCAACATGCCAGAATAGTCTATACTTTCACAATATTCTATAAAAAAATTGATCAAATATCTCATTATAATTAAAAATTACATAGGCATATTTTTAAATACTACTTTTGGTGTAGTTGTAATAGTAGCTATAGTTAACTGCAACCGCAACAAATGTATGTAAGTAAAGAACTGTCTTTAATAACTGTACCTATTAACAATATTTTTTATCAATAACCCTTGTTGATAAAATGAATAGCTGATGACAGTAAGAAAAAAAAACTACAAAGTGAGCAAAACAAATCATGCCAATAAAGAACAAGCACTAGTTGACCTAAATTAGCCAATTGTATAACTTTGCACATCTATAAGACACTTACAAAAATAAAATAAGTAATGAACTTTTTAAATATTAACTAAAACATGCATAAACAATACCAACAATAAAAAAAACAACATGAACAATAACAAACATAAACAAACCAACAGTAAAATAAAAAAAATGTATTTACATATAATGATTGAATTTAAATATTCAAATGTCATAAAAACAAAAACAAAAACAGCAGCAATAATAGGATACATTCACAACAATGATAGTACTAAAGGCACACCTTTTATGAAAGTATAACATAGTAACAAAAGGTAACATAGTAACAAAAGGTAACATCAAGGTAACAAAAGCTAACATGTTTCATTCTCAATACATTTCAGGTAATGCTAGCTCATTTCATTACTTTTTTATATAATCAAATTTAGGTTGATACTGCTACACAAATATGCTGTCGCACCATCATACCGTCGCATTTCCTTTTAAGAAAAGATCACAATCATTTTCATGTACAACTCTATGCACTAACAATGGCGCATCATCTTTACTTAAACTATTAAAGAGTGAATCATAAAACTAAACACACTTTCAATGTGAAACAACATCAGGACACATTACTTAGAAACACCCAATATAACTTTCTGAAAAACCACTTGAATTAAAACAAGTAAAAATGCAAAAAAACAGATATTTTAAACTTGGAAATCTATAAAAAACTTTGTGCTATATCAATCAAGGTGTCATCTGGCCAGCCAGATGAGTCTCTTAAAATATCTAAGGCCTTGTCTTGAGACTGTATTGAAAAACTTTAAAAAAAAACTTTAGAAAAATTTGAACTTCGACAGCCCATTTTTACAATGATACTATCATTAACAAATAGCTTTTTTTAAAACACTTTGTTAATTTCAAAGCATTTTGTTAACTGTTAATACCATTACCAGTTTAAACTCTGAACCTTTTTCTTGTTGATTGGATTGATGAAAATAAGCGGACTATATCAAATAATCTAAAATTTTAGAATTTTTTGAAGAGTATCAAAAATCTATGAAACAGTTACATAAATTGTTTTTTTTTCAGTATATTTACTTTTCACAATCAGTAATTTTAATAATAAATTTTTTCCAAGTTTTGTTCAAGCAAGAGGTCCAACAAAGTCTAGGGGAAGTTTGTAAAAATGGTGAAACTGATACAATCATATCTCTATACTAATTACTTTGTATAAGTATATTGACTTATACTAATAAAATTCCATCAAGTAGAAGGGTTTAAAAAGTAGTGGCCCTAGAACAATAAGGTTTTTTTGGACTGTACCTAGGGTCACTTTATGAAAATTAGGTTCAAATCCATAATAAATTTACAGTTAATTTAATCTTAGACTGTTTTTAATAAATATTTTTAGTAATACTTAATTGCAACACTTAAATATACAACAAAATTAACTAATAGTTCTAGGCAAAATTGACAAATAAGTCAATGCATAAAATGGAAGTCCCAAAACCTGTAGGTTTTGAGATGCTGAGACATAGTACAAAATTAACTTCAGAAACATACAATATTATAAAATAAGTATTTTATAATATTGTATGTTTCTGAAGTTAATTTTGTACTGTCTTAATGTCTCAGCATTTCAAAACCTACAGTTGTTTTG